TCTGCTATGGTGGTGCCTCACAATCATGACCACCTGGGTGAAGTTTCAAGAATGGCCTGGAAGGTCTAGTACCCAATAGAAAACTTCAACATTAAGTGATTATTGAAATGAAGAGAGAAAGAGAAGAAATAAACAATGGCTTCTATGGTGATGCTTAAAAAAAAAGTGTATTTATCCTGTTCTTTGTTGTTGTTGTTTTACCCTGTAATGGTGAGCAGCAAAGAATAATTTGTCTTGTCTTATTTTAAGGAAAAAAATATAGACCACTAGAAGTGGGAAATGAAACACACACACACACACACACACACACCACATTCCAACAAAGTTCCAAGTATAATATGTGAGTCAAGTCCTATCGGTACCTCCTCTCCTTTCCTTTTTGGAAAGTAAATTTTCAGCGGTCAGAATCAGTTCTTTCAGTAAAAGGCCACTCTCCTAACTGTGTAAGCTTTGGGTCACTGGTAAAAATATTCAGTGACAATCATGGTGATGGCCCCCTGATGATCTGTCCAAGCAAAATTGGATTAAGCAGCAGGTTTCCAAACCCACCGTTCAGCAGGAAATGACTCATTTTCTATTATACTTCTGTAGCTGGTGTGTTTTGGTGTTATGCTCTTTGTCATATATACTAGCCAAGTTTGTAAATTGAACTCTACAGTGCACCTTCAAATATTCTGATAAATAGAATCTCTGGGGCTTGGAACATACCATGTTCTTGGTCTTGCCAGAAAGTATGAGGGAAGCCTAGTATAAAATAATATAAAATAATATATTCCATCTGCCTGAGAGATTAGTGAAAATGTAAAAATCATTATTGCTATAAATCTTTAGTGTCCTTATATTATTACTGCGAGTCTACAGTATGCTTTTGGGGCCTGGGAATCATGAAAGAAATGTCTGAAATAATCACGGAAAATATAGGGTGGATGACACAGAAAGCGCCATGAGAGGGCAAGCCCCAAATTATCACAGACCCAGCTCCATCATCTTGGAAAACGGCAAATCTTTGCAAAAAGTCAGAGTACGTTAGGATAGAAGCGACTTTGAGGGTGTGGACACAAAAAGGAGAGAATACTATGATTTGTGTCCCCACTCAAAGGTATATTTTGTTGTTTCCGCCTTCTTCGGAATATTGTGAACACTGAAAATTTCATCTGAAAACAAAATGTCTCGTGGAGAGTTCTGAGAGCCCGATTGAAATGAAATGAACAAATGCAGAGCCAGTGAATGAATGGATGAGGGCCCTGAACTTAAATGATATTGAAAAATCAGGGTTTTTTGAGGCAAAATATGTAATAAAATATAAGCATTTATAACTCTCAAAATCCCTGTGGGAACTTAAGCACTCTATGTGATTAAATCTAATCTTTCAGCTTCAACAAACTCAGTTTTACTTTCCTAAGCCCTTCCACACCAAAGACATTCTTCAATTGCTAGCAATACTACACATTTTTTTTTCCATTTTAAAAATTTAAACCAAAAATCATGAGATTTAGAGATAATTATCAGGAACATTTTGTATTGTGTATTCGAGTGTGTTACATTTTTATGTGATTTCCCAAATCTCGCCACAGTGACTGCAAACTGTACTAGGTGAGAGAAAGAAACCCTTAAATCTCTAAAATGCCAAGGTGTGTTCTTTGTTATTCCTTTTCTAGGTGAAGTGCTGTGTTAATATCTTGAGGGATAAACAAAACCATTGGTAACAATAGAGTTTCCAACCCCTCCCAAAAAAGCAAACACTTGGCATGCTTAGTTTTAGAACAGAATACACTTGGTTGTGTAGCAAGTAGAGTGATATCATTTCTTATAGTCCCCTTAAGTCCCCTTATCCCCAAAAGATTCAATACTTTTAGAACAACTAACATCTTGGACAGATAACTAGTGGATTCAGAAATCTCTCAGTTAGGGGAGCATAGAACAGGCAGCAAACAGCACTGGGTAAGGAAAAGACAATAGAGAGGAAGGAAGGTAGAGAGGGAGGGAGGAAGGAAATAGCCTGGTATTGGACTTCCTATATAGAAGAAAGAGAAAACAAGGTCTCTGAAGCCAGACACTGACCAGTTCCGCTAAGTATTTACAGAGTAGCCACAAACAGAGCTCACATTTAGATTTGCATTAAAGGACAGATTATTAATATAGTTGATGATCCAGATAATCACTAAAATATTTTCTACCATAAAAAGGATACATGAGTTAATTTATGTCCTGTATGCTGGCATGTGCCTATCATACCTGCACTGGGCATGCTGAGGCAGGAGGATCAAAGAATTAAGACCAACCTGGACTACATAGCAAGATTCTGTCTTAAAATTAAAAAATATAGAAAAAGTTAATTCACAATCTAGTATAAATCCGTCATCTTAATCATTGTGTACATGAAAACTGCCCATCAGGTAAGACAGGCTTGGGCAGCAGGTGCCGCTGTCCACACTGAGTGAGTCTGCCTTTATGAGAGTCTTGATCAGCCTGCAGTGACCTGCCCTTGAAGCAGTAGTTTAACAACCTTTGCCCAAGCACTCTCTGGCTCTTTGCACATCTTTAATAGTTTTCTTGACGGACTATGAAGAACTGCCGGATGACAGTTCTATTTCATTTTTGTCACTGCCTGGTGCTCCCTTTCTCTCTCTGGCTTTTTCTCAAGGGCATGATTCTATAAGTCAACGTGGCAATGTTCACGGTGGGGATTGCTCTTTCAACCACTGTATTGATGTAGCAAGAGCGAGTCACAGACGTGTCAAGATTTCAGGCCTTCAAAAAAGTAATCAAGGAGTATTTTATAAACTCTAATGTCCTTTCCATTGGAAGCAAATTGAAACTGGGGATTGGGATCTGATATTAAGGGTTTACTTTAAAACACTGCTGCCAGAGGCATAAAAACCCATTTTGATTAATATACTGTAGGATTTTGTTCCCTTGGAAAAAAAAAAGCACAAACGATGTGCTTTTTTTCCCGAGTTTTAAATAAAACATTTGTCATTATTTTACACTGTATGATCTAATTGCACAATTATTTCATTAGATGGCACCAGAAAAATATGATTTCAGATTCCTCCTGCATATTCTATGTTTTAAGTAAATATCACTTCAGTCAAAGATTATTTATTAAATTACATGATTCTTTGCTAAACATAATTGAGATGTCAAAACTTTTTTATTAGTTCTGCATAATGAAATAATTGAGGAAATAGTAATAAATTATTTCTTTTGTAATTTAGAATAAATAAAATCAGTTGCTAGGATTTTCTGTAAGAATGTGGTACTCTGAAAACGCTCTCATATAATTATGCTGATGGATGTCATATGTTTCCTCAGCAAAAATGCAAAGTGAGCTTGCATTTCTGTCTCCTGTACAGAGTCAACTGTGCTCTTCCACACTGCATGGGTATAAAGGTTTCTTTAGATACTGTTTCTTTTGATTGCCTCGGTGTAGAAAGGGAGGAGAGCTTAATTCCAAAATTAAGGATGCTGGTCTACTGGACATGACATTTTCATTATGCTTATTAGCTTCCACCTGTTGTAAAACCACAGCTTTTAACCTAAGAGTAGGAAGTGAGTTTAAAAGCCGTGAAGTACCAATTTAGTTTTTAAGATCAAGAAACTATTACTGTGGGGGGAATGGAGAGATGGCTCAGTGGGTAAAGCAAGTCTGAGGACCAGAGTCTGCAATTCCAGGACAGGCTAGATGCCAGACAAGTGTGATGGTCTGCCTGTAACCCCAGAGCACAGAAGATAGACAGATGAAGCAAGCTTGTTGAGGTGGTAGATTCGGTGATCTCTGCATCCAGAGGGACACCCTGCCTCAGTAAAGAAAATGGAGCTTGATGAAGTGAGTTACCCATCAGCAACCTCTCATCTCTACATGTGTTTGTGTGTGTGTGTGTGTGCACACACACACACACTCACATATAAATGCACATCTACATGTAAAAGGAAACAAAGATACTCCACTGTTAAAGCTAGTGTAAGATGTCAGGTACCATGAGGGACATGGGGGCTTGGATGTTGACTTTTGCTTCAAAGACCTCACCATCCAGAAAAGAGGTTTGGTTTATTAATGCATATAGTTGACTAGAGTGCCCCCTGAAAGTAAATAAGACATATCAATATAGACTTTTGAGAAAACTGGAGACCCCATGACTTAAGAGAGAGGAATGATGGGACATGGACAGAAAAACAGCAAAGGATTTGAATTTGAGCTTGAAAAAGAGTGATGGTAGCAGTAACTGACATTTTTTGAACTATTGGGTGACCAGATATTCCTTAAAATTCATTTTCTTTAACATAGGACTTGGATGTAATAAGGTCAATGGAGATGGACAGTTGGGATGAAAGAAACAATATGAATATAGGAGTTGAATGGGGATGGGTCCTGACTTTTAACTCTTCTGTACATAGAATTGGAGGTACTGGTGCACATGAGACAGGACCACAACCTCACCTCCCTGCAGTAGCTTTGATAACACTTGCAGCATCAAGATGATAAGAGCCGTGCATCCCTTAAAGATAATTAGATTTGGCTAAGCTTCACTACAGTCTGTTTTGACCATGGAATCGTAAATTTATTAACAAAACTCTTGTTCTTTCAGCTTGAAAATCTGATAATTAAACACAAAATGTAAAAGAAAACAAAACTACAAAGAACAAAGCAAAACAATGGCCCAAAAAGCAGACTATTCCTGGTGTGGCATCAAATTATCTAGCCATATAATTTTCCAGTCCACAGTTTATATGCTCTATACTTTGAAGTTATTGGGTCCAGTATGTGTCTGTCTACCTTACAGCCCATTGCTTGGGGGCACTCTGGGTTTCTCAGCTTGCTGATTGGCTCAAGAATGATTTGAAGGAGTGTACATTATACTCCATCACCTCGTTCACCAATCCATTCAAGAGGCATACCTATACCTCTCTGGCTTGTGCTGGGGAATTGGAATAACCACCTTTGAAATTGTTTCTCCCCCACCATTCCTCATGCTCTTCTCACCTTTCCTATTTTGCAGGGCTCACCTCACTTTCTGATGTTTGGTGAAACTACTTTCCAGCTCCTGAAGATGCACCTTTTTCTTCATTATAGTTAAAGCTTGTTCCATCCTCTACTGTTGAAAGTCTTGTGGGCCATCCCTCTCCTACAACTTATTCAAGATCAATGGAAATATCTATTTACAGAAACAGTTGTTTAGGAATGTCTATAACTATTAGCAAGGAAATGCTAAATGCTTAATCATTCTGCTTTTCCATCAGCCACGCATGTGTTTGCTGCTGACGTCCACACAGCACCAGTGTTTCTAAGTAAATCTCTTCTGCTTGGCTGTGCAGTGCAATCTCACTGTGGTTTATATTGGATTCTTTAAAACAATTAATGGCATCAAGTACTCATATTTGGAACCTACACATACAATTTAGTGACTAATTTCTATTTATTTATTTTTGTAATTTTACTAGATTGTCTTATTACTTGGTTAGTTCTAGCTTCAGGCAATGACAAGTCAACCAGCCTTTTATGTGACCATAGTATTTTTTAGCACCTGGTAAAATACTTGTAAATGCAATTGTCACATAGAATGGTAAGTCTGTCTCACTTTATATTTCCTAACAGAAAATTTGTGATGAATTACATAGACTCTGTATAGCAGTTGAATGTGGATTCACAAGCTAACATTATTGAGCAATCCAAGTTATAATAATAGCATATCTTCTCATATTGGTTATCAGTAATTTCTCTCAGAAATATTTTATAGTTTTGAATATGTAAGTCATATATATCAAAATTAACTCAGATTTTATGATATTATAAATGGTTATTTTAAGTTGAAATGCCCAGTTGTTTGTTGTTAGCATATATGAATAAAATTGCATTTTGTATATATTGAATATATTATTTGTAGTTGTGACAAACTCTATTTATGAAGGGCTGATCCTGGCTCGCAGTTCAAGGATATGGTCCACCATGATGGAGCAGTCCTGCCGCCAGGTGCTTGAGGCAGCTGCTAACATGGCACCAGCTGGTCACATGGCATAATCCGGTCAATGGCATCAGCTGGTCACATGACGTCAGCTGTCGGGAAGCAGGGAGAGATAAACTGGTGGTCAGATCCCTTTCTTCCTTTCACTCTTTCTTGGATCCTAACCAGTTGAAGTGCCACCCACATTTAGGGTTTTTCTACCTCAGCTAGCCCATCCAGAAACTCATTCATAGTCTCACCAAGAGGCTTGTCTTCTGGAGATTCTGTCTTGTCAAACTGACAACTGAGATGAATCTCACTCCGACCTTACAGTTTGTAATTTTACTAGATTCTTATATTAATTCTAATGCATTTTCTGAGGGCTGACCTGGATGTAACACACAGATGATGACTTGAGTAAACAAATTGTTCTCTTTTTTTTCCTTCTGACCAGCCTGCTGTTATTATTTTTTCCTTAATTTGATAAGGCCATTTAGAACTGTTTTAAATGGAATCATGAGAGGATAGGAGGTAAGAGAAGATGTCATGGGGAAGAGAAGAGGAGTCAAAGGGAACAAAAGAGTAACAATACATGTGGCTGGAAACAAAAGAAGACACTGGGAAGAGGAAAGTGGTCAGGTGATGAGAGTGATGATGGAGGGCTCGGGGAAGATAGCAGCTTTCAGGGAGAATCAGCAGTAAGCATGTATGAAACCCCCAAAATGAAACTTTCTTCTTTGCATATCAAGTTTTAAAAATAGATATGGTTATTTGCTAAAAGCTTTCCTACATCTATACATATATAGGAATGATCATATACTTCTTTCTTCATTTAGTTTGCTTATTAAATAAATATGTGGTGTTGATTGCTTTCAAATACTCAACTAAGAGTAGGCTGGTGTAAAACTCCTATTTGTGACTGATGTGCCAACATTTGACCTATTGTCTGATTCAAGTTACTACAATGTCCTCACATGCTACTGTTTCTATGGCTTGTGGAATATTGGTTTGTAGTGTTTTTCTTCCTTTCCTTTTGAACGGTTCTGGCTCCTTTGGCACCAGGTCATTTCTAGCCTCACAGAATGTGATAGACCCATTTTTGTTGCTCTGGGTAGACATTTTTGGTACCATTTCTTAGTACCATCTCTACCACAAACATTTGATAGAATCTCCAAGTGATACTATCTATCTAAGCTTAGAGAGTGATTTGTAGGAATGTTTTAGGCTATAAATTAAGTTTACTTAAGTATAAAGGATTAGTTATCTTTTCTTATATATGCTTTTTGACTATGGATTACAGCAAATTTATTTCCTTTTGTCATCATTTTAATGTTTTTTAAAAGCTATAGCTATGACCTACCTAACATTCCATATTGTGGTATTAATAGTTTTCTGGGGGTACTAACAATATCACATATATTGTTACTCTTTTGTTCCCTTTCACTCCTATTCTCTTCCCCATGACATTTTTTCTTACCTCCTCCCACCCTCTCATGATTCCATTTAAAACAGTTCTAAATGGCCTTATCAAAGTAAGGAAAAATAATAAAAGCAGCATGTACTAATTTTGGTACATGCTCTTCAGTGATATTGGTAAGTTTAAGACACAGGGCATCTTTCACTAATACCTCTCACTTGCTTCCTACTTCATTCGTGTCCACCCCACCTTGTTATTTCTTTCTCTTCATTTTCCATGAGTTTGCTCTTCCCTTTTCAACACCATAACATGTAAGTAAAGACTCATCATATCATGCTGATTATCTGTTTGGCAGCATTCCACAATTTTGTATTATGTGTTTTCATGTTCCATCTAATTCAAAATAATTGATTCCCATTGTGATTTTTTTGCTTTGACATATATATTTCTGTTTCCCAGATAGCTAGCTTTCAAATATGGATTCCAGGCATGGTGGTCAGAGCAGGAACATTAAAAACAATTTCAAGTCTTTTCTCTTTATTGAGAGTATTTTAGTCTAGAGCATAGTATGTCTTGTTAAGTGCATGATGTCTGTCTATCAAAAAATATGTATTTTTTTTTCCTTTAGAACTGGAGCATTTTACAGAGTACCAATCAGGAAGAGTTAGTATATAGGGTGCTCACATATTGTTCCTTATTTAGTTTATATATTCACTTAATTACTACATAAGAGATTTTGAAATATTTAGCTGCTTGTGAATTTAGTCAATTTTCTTTCATTTCTGTAAGCTTTTGCCATTGTGTTTTTGAAGGTCTATTATTAGAAACAGACACAACTAGGATTGTTATCTTTTACTGGTACATTGGCCTTCTGTCTTCTGCTGAATCTCCCTTTATTCCTGGAATAATCTTTCCTTAGATATCTTGTCTAATATTCATATAGTAAATAAATTTATTTTATTCGATTTATTATGATCAATCTTTCTTCATTCTTTTATTTTGACCTCTTTATGTTCCATATTTAAAGAGCAGTTCTTACAAACAGCATACAGCGCATCAACTGACATTTGTGGTCTCTAAATGGAATGCTTAAAACATTTTCAGTTAATGGGATTTTTGCATTTTGGATGAATTTAATGGCCCTATTTTGCTATGTATTGTACCCTTTAAAATACTTTTTAAAATTTTTCTTTATGTGTGTATGTGAGTGCCTGAATGCATGCATATGCACCACATGTATGCAGTGCCTCTTGAGACCAGAAGAGGTTGTTGGGTTCCCTGGAATTGGAGTTACAAATGTTTGTCAGCCATCCAGTGTAAGCTCTTGGAACCAAACCCATCTCCTCTGTAAGAGCAGTATTGTGCTTTCCCACTGAGCCATTTCTCCAGTTCCATGATTTGTCTTTTTAAAACTGTCTCTGCTCTTCCTTTTCATGTATGGGTAGTGAGCTGGGGATTAAACATAGATCCTGAAGTTGCTAGGTAAGCTATTTGGCCATGGAGTCACATCCCCACCGTCTCTGTTCTTTGTGTTCCTTTCCTTCTTTCCATGTTTTGGAACATCGTTTAGATGGATTAATAGTGATTATTCTAACTAGAAAAAGATCTTCAGAAATAGATTATTCCTATTTTCATACATTAAACAGAGCTTTAGAGTAATCTACCATTTGTTGATGCTTCCATAGTTACTCAATAAGATTCCTTAAATTGACTTACACAGTTTCTTGATTTGCCACCTCCCAGATAATGCTCTTCCTTACCTCTAGGTCACCCTTTGGCTCTCACCACAGTGGTGTCCCTCTTAGTCTTTATATGTGTAAGGCTAATTCCAGATTTGAGTGTACTTATACTCTCTTCACTTTCTGGAATTCTCTATTTAACTCGCCTTCTGGAAGTGGTCCTTACCACTATCATTCTCCTGTTTCACATTTTATCTTCATTGCTAATCCTTACTACTAATCTTTCTTATCCTCCCTTGGTTTCAGAAGCACTATACTCAGTATTTTAGGTACTATATTCATTGTTTATGTTTCTCTCTTCCTTCATGGAAGGAGATCTGCAGGAGATAGGAATTTTGACAGTTTCTTCAATGCTGTGCCTCTAATACCTGCGATGGTGTCTTGAACATAATAGACACATATTTTGAAGAAGGAAACTCATTAGCAGATAGAAAACACCGGAAATACCTTTCTTTGCTTGATTTCAATGAAATAAAACTATGTCAATGTCTGTAAAACTGAGATGAAATTATATATGCATTCTCTTCTTAAGTCATCGTAATTCAATGTTGTGTGGACCATTTTGTGAAATAAATACATAGTTTAGATAGCATCATTTCGTGAAACAAGATATGTTTAAAAGTTGGGAAATTAATGATACATAGCATAATAGAAAGTTTCACATTATATGTGATCCAAGGTGCTCTTATGTGTGCATGTGTTCATGTGTTCTCTCTCTCTCTCTCTCTCTCTCTCTCTCTCTCTCTCTCTCTCTCTCTCTCTCTCTCTCCTTCTGTCTCCCTCCCTCCCTCCCCCTCCCTCTCCCCTCTCTGGTGCATAACAGAGTGCAAAATTCCATCATCTAAACCTTTGCTTTAAATTGTATGGGAACTTAAGGTTTTCATTAAAATTTTGACTACTCATGAAGGTGAAGGAATGCGTTGTAATAGTTTTGCATAGATTTAAAGTTAGGAGAGAGTTTATTAATATTATGCATAAAGCAAGTGGATGAGACTTGTGTCCTGAAATACAACTTTCTGTCACTTGATTAGTTTCATGTTCAAGCTGATGTCAATTCTTTAATTTATCCAGAGTAGTTGGGTATGTGCCTTTTTCATATGAAGGCCATTCAGAGGGATTTGCTAGCAGGTAGATTTGAATATTGAAGCAAATATTTTCTATTCTTGTAGCCTATGCTTAATATTTTATATATAGCTTTTAATAGATCAACTTAATTATTTAAGTAAATATAAATGAAAAATGGAGTGATAATGATTA